ACAGGCAGTTGACAACACTGACCACTTGGGTCTTACCGCCGGCCGTCTCTTGGAGGGCACTCCTGGGTAGGGATGCGGCGCATGGGATGCACTGGAAGGTCGAGGATATCATGTTTGCCGCGCCCATGGCTATCATCTCTTGGTTTGGGTCCACTTTATAGCCATGTTTTTTGCCGTATATTTTGCCCACCGATAAGGTTATAGTGTAGCCCACGATCGCAGTGGCAATACATTTCTCCCACATTATCGGAAACAGTTTCCAATTGGGAGACATCGGAGTGGGAAAACTGAGATGGATCATAATTATAAGTTAATCCATTTATAATTTAATATAGTATTGTATGTCTGAAATTTTCTATTTGTATCAAGCTACATTATATTCTGTAAAATGATTTATGAAGTTACAAATTAAGTAATAACTAGCAGTTGTGTATAGTATTAAAAGTAATCTAGTGAATAATTATTATAAAATGGTTACATACTTGTTACCAATTTGGCCGACAATCCTGACATTATAGGGCTCTTTCCTAAGCTCCATAACATGGGACACAATCGTACCCCCAATCACCACAAATAACTCAATAGGAAAGGGTGTCTTAATACGAGTCCGAGTTGTAAACCGATTGACAACTAATTTAAAAAACAGTAGTATTGCTAAACAAATCCCTGTTATGGTAAGTGACGTGAAATTAATCTCTTCGAGTCTTGTGAACACTTCCTCGAGAGTATAATAAAGATTAAATGGTCCGGAGAAGTGCTTATAGTCTACACCCAAGAGGTACGGTAGTTGTGACACAAACACTATGACAGACGCGGATGTGGTGAACCCACTGATCAGCTCTTCGGACATAAAATTGGATATAAAACCCAATTGAAAGACACCAAACATGAAGATATAGATCCCGATTATCATGCCTACCATTATGGCCACGTCTATAGTCAGCAAACCGGGAAAGTCATCGCTGGTAGACGCGGCTAACGGCCCCACAAAACTATATCCTTTGATTTGGTTGTTTTGCTCGACATCTTTGCCTAATTGTGTCATCACTTGTGTGACGATATCGCCGGTCATAACACCGGACACTATTGCGAAGGGACCGAAAGCCGAGTGAAATCCTGTGCCGAATAGGGTGTAGAAGAGGGCCGGGAAGAAGGCTGAGTACAGGCCATAGATTGGCGGCACGTGTGCTATCAGACAATAGCCCATACCTTATG